CAGTATGCGCCATTTTCACCATATCAGTCTGCTCCCAAAATAAGTCAGTTATGGGCAGACATATCTCATCTACTCGATATTTTTCGTCATTTTGTTATAAAGACATCAACTACGACCACGCATCACTTGGAGCTCACTTTTTTGCTCTTACTTCCAGAATCTTTCGTCAATATAACTACTTCGCTTCCATTTTTACTCTCCAAACTCTATTTTTCTGTCGCCGCTTAGCCGTTCTTCACGGCCACTTTCCACCTATGTGATACGCCTCCTATTCTCCAGAGCAATTTTTTCCTGCCTTTCTTGATTCGGAATGGTTATAGACAAGGACTAGCCAATCTGGTTACGCAGGAGCAGGTAATTGTCTCCTACTCACGCTATTTTCCAGCCGACTTTTGCCATATTCAGATTGCTTTTTCTCTTCTTTTCGACCACTATGTTATTTCCAAGATACCATCTTGTAATCCCTTTTTAGTATAAACTAACCATCTTTCTTTTCTGTCAGTACTATTTCCTTGGCGTAAAGTGGATGGTTTCATCATGTCTGCTTTCTTGCCCAATCTTTGATTCTTGTTTTTTCCTCTTTCTTGTTTTTTTGGTTCTCTCTTTTTTTTTTTTATCCTCAAAAAAGTGCTATATATATATAACCTTTGTACATAACTGGACATTTACCTATCCCTTTCTGTCCTCTTATTTCCGTTTTGGTTTTAACTTTTTTGTTGATTCGGTTTGGGGACAGGGTTTGTTTCGTTATTGGGATGGGATTAGTTCACCTTGTGTGTGTTTTTTTTTGTTCTTTTGTTTCCACCGAAGGCCTCAAGCTTGCTTTCGGACTCTCAATTAGGGTTAGAATGTGGATTGATTACTCGGGTGTGGTTGGGCAGGCATGAAGCAGGACAGGAAATGCAATATTTAATCAGTGAGTAATTCAAGCGTTATACTTAATTTCTGCCTTGATCTCTTGGTGTTTGAGCTTTGTGACATAAGTAAGATCTTGCATGGTGATTCTTGTGATCAAAATTGGAATACATGAAGTGAAGTTTACGGCGATGCATTTTATTTGGCCCTGGGGGCGGGGAAGAATCAGGTATATAGGGACGGATGGATATATCCTATTCCGCTGTAATAAATAAGATAGATAGTTCCCCAAAATTATGACACCGTAGTGCACACTCCGTAACATCCGCATGAATAATACAATGATGAAAATAAAATCAAAATAGAAGCTCTAGTCAAGGAAAGTAAAATGTCAAATAAAATGAACCAACGCGAGTAATGATGTAAAAGGAGGGTCGAAAAATATCGTTCTGAGCAGTACAGTACATTTTGTATCCATGCCCTTACTTTTCCCGAAGCTTTTTTTTTTTTGGGGGGGGGGGGGG